CAGAATCTCATTTGTGTGATTCTGTATTAGAACTGGCTAAAGGGCGCCTGGGTGGCTCAGATGGTTAAGCATCTGCCTTCGGCTCGGGTCATGATCCCAGGGTCCTGGGATCAAGTCCCACATCAGGCTCCCCGCTCAGCGGGGAGCCTGCTTCTCCCTCTGACCCTCTCCCCTCTCATGCTGTTTCTCTAAAAAATAAATAAAATCTTTAAAAAAAAAAAAAAGAACTGGCTAAAAGAGGAACTTCATTGAGATTTGGACAGCAACATGGAAACAGCACCTGTTAATCTGAAAGTCTTTTTGCAATCAGGTGCAGTGAGAGACAGAGGCAAAGGGGCCTGGCAGCTTCCAGGCTGCCTTTGCTCTCTTGAGTTCCGTGTCCATTTCTTCTTTCCAACTGTCAGTCCTGTTGACCAACAGCAAAGTCAGATCTACTACCAGGACTTTGGCCATGTACCTACAAAGGAGGAAGCTACACAGAGGCAACAGCATCCCATAGACCTCTTAACAGATTATCCCTCCTTACCTGGTTGCTCTGATTGGTCGGTGACTCCTCTGATTCTCTAACTCTGCTAATGGACCTTCACTTTCCCAGCTCCTCCTGTGGTTGTGTGAATTCAAATCCGGTGAATGATAAACCTGGGTTTTAAATTCACAGTTCAAGGTCTAAGTTGGGAACCAGAAAGCTTCCATGACTATCTTCAAATAAAAACTTTTAAATTGTACTGCTGATGTGTCACCATCCGTCATGCCTTCTAAATCCGCATCGGGATTCAAATCCTAGAAGATCCAAGGGTACCGGTAGGAAGTGTGACATGTGAGGTGTTATGCATGTCAAAGGAATTGCAAGATTTCACCAATTCATATTAACTGAAACCCAAAGTATATGTATGGGAATATTTCTTAATGGCTTTGAATTAGGGCAGAAGAAATACAATGCTGTATTAGCCTACGTGTTTTTGATATGGGTTCACTAAGTGGAGCTTCTGGATTCAAAGTGTTATTTCATGTGACTAGGAGTAACTCTAACAATGTGCCTGAAAACTAGACCCAGTGGTGGTCCACCCTGAATAAAATGGAGGTGCCCAAACTTCCTTATTACAATGTAGTCTATAGGAAAGTGTACAACATTTAGGGAGATTGGTTTTAATATGATAGATGCTCACCCACCTGTTAAATATGTCCCCTGAGAGGCTCCAGAGGGCATTTCCTTCACCAAGCTTTGAACTCCCTTCACATCAGCAAAGGCTGGATTGGAATCCTGAAAGAACCTCCTAGTGACGTTTCTCGGAAAGTCTGGAATAAGGAAATGCTGCCGCAGAACTGGGCTTCTTAAATTTAATGAGGATGATGGAATTCCATAAAGGCAGGAACCAAAGGGCTGCATTTCACTATCAGAGACCAGATGGGAATGGTTACCATAAAGGGCAGCAGAACCAAAGGGGTAAACGGAATGGTTTGACTTGCAAAGATTTTGACTAATTGATCATGGAGTCCCTAGGACTGAAATAAGACGGGCATTCTACTGAAGTGTTAACTTTATTTGAGTAAGTGTTAAATCTCTAGACTTTGTGAAAAGAGGTCTGATTTGGATCACCACATCAGGATATTGCATTCCCTTGGTCAATTTCCATATGAGAATAGGTTCACTGACTCAGACTCCTTGAATGAAGGGGAGGGTGAGTCATTTTAAGGAAGGATCCTGCTACACTGTCCAATTTTATACTGTGTATTTACCTTCAGGTTTTCCCTGATGGGCACACTGTACTTACTGGAGGAAGGGAAAAAAATCAGACTTTTTGATGATCACTGAGTCTCATCTGATACTATTCCTGGTGATCCTAAATTCCTACTGTAGCCCCAAAGTCAGAGCAAGAGCTTATGGAAGTCAGATAGTTTAATCAAGTTTTGACTTAAATCTGCTCATAAGGAACCCAAGAGTCTCTGATCCCCCCACCCCCATAGTAATTTTCCTAATTCTGGAAGGCATATTTGGAATAGAAATACTTAGAGACTGGCAGAACCCCTGCTTACCTTGTTGGTTCCATGATCTATAGAATGAAGGCCTTAAGATGATGATGGCAGTGGAAGACCCTAGAACTGTCTCCACATCCCAAAACTGGAAACAAAACCAATACTGCATTTTTGGAGGGATTTCAGAACTACTTCTATTATGAAGGGTTTGAAGGACACAGAAATGGTAATTCCCAACCCCCCAACACTAGTGCCAGACTGAATATTAAAAAAAAAAAAAAAAGACAGACATGGCACTGTTCTGTTGGGCCATTTGCTTCAGGGTGATGGGGACATGGTAATACCAGAAGTTTGCATGAGCATGACAGCCCACTGCTTCCTTTTATTTGTTGTTTTATTTCAGGGGAGCCATGTTACAGCAAATAAAAGGTAGCCCAGGCCTCATGCTCATGTAAATCTCTGGTATTACCATGTTCTCCCATCATCCTGAAGCAGATGGCCTGACAGAAAGCTGCAATGTCTTTTTTTTTTTTTTTTCTTTTCTTTAATATTCAGTTCTAGCACCAGCTGGGTGAAAACATTCGGACGATATTGTATCTGGTCTGATTCATCCACCATTACGTGGTGATATTTCCACCTAGATTCATGGATTTAGGAATCAAGGGACGTAACTGAGAATGTCTCTTACTAAGTAATTTTTACCTCTCTCATGTCCCTACTCTCTTACTTAAGATGTGTTGATATTGGTTAATTTTCTATCTCAGCAACTCAATGAAAGGATGTACATAAGTAAGGGGCCATCTAGAAACCAAATGCCCCCCCCATATTAAAATGAAGGTAAAACACATGAATGAGGAAGCGTCACAAACTGCACAGATGTTGAGGTTTTACTCTACTTACAACCTATCACGTGAGCCTGCACACTTTCAGGGCAAAAGACAGAAGACCCCTGAGTTACAGACAAAGGACTTTATTACTCACAGCAAGAGCAGTAGAAGAGAGTCAGCATTTTCTTGCACTGGTTTCCTGGGCCCCAATTGCCCCAGAGGGACACGAAGAGAGCCACATGATATTTGCACATGCAGTGGCTTATATCACAGGAGAGGGACCCCCATTTTAGGGCCAGAAACCTATTTATGATGAGAAGTCAGCATGTCTGCCCTTTGCTGCACCATCTCCATCTTCCAGGGCTGCTCATTACACAAACATTCCTTAGAAGACGCTCCCGAACAAAAGAAGACAGTGCCAAGATGTGTAGAGACGTGAGAGACCTATGAAGAACTGCCTCCCAACAGGAAGCTTCACATATTTTATTGAAAAAAATCTAAGAAATCATGTGAATCATGTACAACATTTTCTCACAAGAAAACATTTAAGCTGGTTCTTTTAACGTTTCACAGAATTGTAAAACTTTTTAGTTTTCAAAAGGAAAAAACACAATGAAACTACCACAGTATTATAAGTGTTTTGTTTTTTTCTTGTTTCTAGGGAAAAAGCTGAAAAATATTTGGTAAATTTTCTCATGATTTGTGAGGCTAAGTACTATAGTCTTTTATAAATCTGCTAAAAAGATACAAGGAGACGGGTGGATCACTGCTTTCTTTGTTCAAAATATTTAAAAAAAAGCTAAAATCTAATGACAACATGTTAAAATAATACATATTTTTGTAGGATGTTACCATTTCTATACTGATTTCTCTATACTATATCAACAGTGCAATGGTGATTCAGTGTAAATCATTACAGTGTTTCATTGTTAAAATACTTGTGTTCAAGTACATGTTCATGAACATGATCAAAGTCTCTATTTTGACTTTTTTTTTCCATTATTAAAATAAGGTTATAATTACAGTAGAATTTTTCCTATGGATATTTCTAAGTCTGAACCAAATTCATAATACATTCTCTAAAAACCTGTTCAACACTATGAGGTTTGTTATGTTTACACATTTCCTGTAGGTTACAGAAAATGGGCTAATTCTGCATCAAGACACCAAAAACCAAAAACGATTTCTCTCCATATATAACTAAACGATTACATTAAGTTAGTATACATTCTGGATAACTCAATGGTATTGGCAGGGAGAGGAGAGCACCTTAGAGAGAGCCCTAACTGAAACAACAAAAAAAATTTTTTTAGAGCCTAATGATCTTGTTTTTTTTCCCTTTTTATTTTGATTCTGGAAACTGGATCCAACTTATTCATATAAAATTACTTATGAAGCCATATAGTATACGTCGAAATGTTTGTATAGCCCGGACAGACGCCATATTGGATGTTTGGCAGGCACAAAAATAAATTAATTCGATTAAATTATATGTAATCTGATACTACTTGGTCTGAAAAACATGCTAGTGTGTGTGTTTATAAATAATGTAACTGCAAAGCGCTGTGAGCCAGCCAGCCGCTTGAGGTCAACTCTTCTGCTGCAGCTTCTGGGCGTAGAAGTCCCGGCACGTACCGCAGCAGCGCTGATACCACCGCATGTCCTGACAGAGGTTCTTCTCGCGTATCACTCGGCAGTACACGGGCCACTGATCTCCCAGGCACTTGAACGTCAGCGCGGCTGCGAAGCAGAAATGAGGGAACTCAATGCATGCAGCTATCCTAGGTGTCAGGAGTAGAAACAAACAGCAACCATTTAAGTGGGGCGATTCTGAACATTCACTTTGACTCATTTATACTGCCTTCCGGAACTTAAAAGAGAGAAAGAAACACACACAAGCACACACATCCTACGAGAAGGAATAAAATGAAGGCATAATGGTCTTACTGAGGAGCTCTTTCAGACTCATTAAAGCTAGACTTCCCAAATTCAGTGAGTTGTAATACCAACGGCTTTTAAGGTTCAATTTTATGGCTTTCATTTAAGCTTCTTTTGGATTTTTAGTTGAGAAGATTGAAAAGAAAAAATGACTATGCTCGCTATATCCACTTTTATGGGATACAAATGAATAAGTATGGTTATGGATGAAATAGCAAAACGAATATGCTCACACTTATTTCATATTCCTTGCTTCTTGGAGAGCAGACATACTAGGTGGGCTGTCTGGGGATCTTGATTTCACACATCTTTAAAATCAGAGCTGATTATCAAAAGTGATTGAAATTTACAGTTATAAAGTATGTGGAATCTTTCTTTTGCCACCACTCTAAGATGAATCATTATTTTATTTTTTAAAACCTCAGGGTTTCCACTGTGCTTGTGTCGTTGGGGATATACCTTCAAAAAATAATAAATAGAGAAAATGCCATTTTAATTAAATTTTTCTTGTAATCCATCATTTTCTGCCACATGATACTTCAAGAAGGACTCCAGCTAATTGCTGGAGAAAGGGATTATGTTGTTCTGAATACATGGACTTAGGGCATCTGCTCTAGGATTGCTTAACTTTTGTCTTAATTACTCTTAATTCTACTTGAACTGATTATTTCCTAGAAATGTTAAGTATTTGGCTTGAAAAAGAGAATTTTTGTGTTTCTGTGAAGAACCAGACTTTTCCATTTGATTGAATCCCATGCTCAAAAAATATCTAAGACAATGAAACTCCTTTCATTTTAGCAATATCGTTCTGTACGATTAAATTATTACTCTGTAGGTTGTACACACAGATTAAAAGTGAAGGTGTTAAACATAAATTAACCCAATGACAGTCAGGTGGCAGTGCTGTTAAAAGCCCCTAATTGCCAAAGAAATAAAGGCTAATTCATTTACGAAATTTTTTTTAGGCAAGTGCAGGCTATATTTACTTAAAATACATAATCTACTTTTTGAGGATAGATTAGATTGAATAACACGAATTGAGAATATATACGAAACCATTTATAACATAAGAAACTATGCAAATCAATACGTTACTAGCATTTATTTGTATATAATATTATGTCCTTAAGGATTCAAAACTGTTACCTCTTTTTCAGTGGTTTAGATTCAGGTACCCACTCTTCTTGAAAGTCATTTTTACTCTATGTCTCTCCGAAGGATAATTTGTACCCAGGATCAAAAGGAAGGCTATTAACAATGGAGACATTGAAGATATATACCACAACCTCACCTTTCCAGAGACATTACCTTTGTCGATAGTTCTGCCACGAATCTGGTCAGAACCCAAAATATGGTTACATCCTGCAACCCTTTATAAGATGACCTTGAGAGGTGTGGCATTCGTATTTCCAGGACCAGGCACTGAGGAGACAGCTTCAGGAATCCTAAGTGTTTAGTCTTTAGGATTTTTTACCCCCTGACCATTTGCCCTAAACTATAGTTAAATATATCCCGTTTAGTCAGAACAAAACTAACTCCTATAGATTAAGAACTTAACTTTATAATAATATGCAAAACAGAAGAAGCCATAAGCATTTCCATGTTTCTCAAAACCATCCCCTTTTTGGTCTGCTTACCCAGCCTGGGTGATGTTATGGTATTTACATTAATCTTCTCATTGCAGGGTTGAAGGTGGCACGGTCTGTATGCTGCAGGTTTTTCTGAAGAAAAACACTCATTTCCATGTCTTCCTGTGATCTTATGCATGCACTGGATAACACGGGACTGCATTCCTTTGCCACAGGTGATTGAGCACTGGAAAGATACAAGGTGTGTTAAAAGTCCTTGTTGCTCTTTCCTTTTTCTAGATTGTGAGCCGCCTTTCCCATCCATCCCTTCCTTAAAATTTAACATGAGTCACAACATCCAGAGTTGATGCAAAACGGGGGTCAGAAATGTTGATACTCATAACTTGGGCATGCCGCTGTTCAGAACCTCTGGCTGACCTCAGGCACAGCACTGGGTCATGAAGGACATAGGTGAGTAAAGGAGAAAGAAAGGGGGACAGTATGACTTGGAGGGAAAGACAGTGAATGATACCAGGGATGCACTGAGGTGGACAGTGTTTAAAGTTCTAATATCTAGTTTGCAACAAATTCATTATTTTTTTTGAAGATTTTATTTATTTATTTGAGAGAGAGAGAGCATGAGCAGGGGGAGGGGCAGAGGGGGAGGGAGAAACAGACTCTCCGCCCAGCAGGGAGCCCGACCCGGGGCTCGATCCCAGGACCCCGAAATCATGACCTGAGCCGAAGGCAGACGCTTAACGACTGAGCCACCCAGGCGCCCCTCCCACAATATTTTTGATTCACTTTCCTCATTTCCATTTTTGTGTCACTATGAAGCAAGGGTTCTGTGATGGCAGAATTACAGGATGAAAGAACTTGAGGCTGTGAGTTATTTCTTGGAAAAGAGCCGCCGCTAAAATCCATTTGTCCTTCCTCAGACTTTTCATGAGCAAGAAAATTCTTTTATTTTTGGAGTGCCTGGTGGCTCAGTCGGTTAAGCATCTGACTCTTGATTTCAGCTCAGGTCATGAACTCAGGGTCCTGGGATTGAGCCCTGCATCGGACTGTGAGCTCAGCAGGGAGTGTGCTTCAGGATTTTCTCTCTCCCTCTGCCCCTCCCCCTGCACGCACACTCGCTCTATCTCTCTAATATGTAAATGGATCGTAAAAAAAAAAAAAATCTTTTATTTTTAATTAGTGATATTTTGTGGGGATAGCTGCCATCACAGTAGAGCCTACCCTATTCTCCCTAATTCAGAAAGTAGTATATCTTAAAATTCCACAAACATGTGGCATGGGCTTAGGAGCCAAGAAGTGGAAAGGGATGAAAAAAACAGCAGCAGCCGGAATGATGGTTATTCATATCTTATAGGAAAAAAAATTGGCATAAATGTCATCTGTCATAATTGGGAATCCAATCACCCATAGCTTTAGGAGAGATACTTGTAAATAATCAGAGCACTAATGTGATACAAGAAGGAGATGAGATTAGAGAAAGAGCGGGACAGTTGGAAAGAAGAAATGAAAGAGAGTAGAGAGGACCTAGAAATTTGATGCCTTCTATCTTACTGTTGAAAATCTGTTTGTAGTACCCAACACTAAGACACAGAATTATTAAAAAAAAAAAAAAGCATTGAGCAAAATATGCCTATTGAAATTTCTCAGTCGAATAAAGTGATTCAAGATAAAGATGCTGTTAGGCTATGCTTTCATAACTCTTATTCCTGAGAGCCTCTCTGTGGTTGTCACTGACTCTAAAAATACAGAAATGGAGGCAGAAAAGCAAGACATTAAAGCCTACTTGAGAGTTATGCCTTCAAAGAACTTTAGGTGTGTTTACTGACATATAAAATTGATTCCAAGTACTCAGTCAGGTCAAGTAAGATTACATTAATAAATAGCTTCCTAAATTCTGTAAGAAATATATGACCAAAGTAATCACAAGCCTATACCTAAAAGCTTTTGAATGTTTAGAATTAAAAAGCAAAGCAAAACAAAAGAAAGCAGCGATAATAACCCTAGATTTCTAAATTTCCTTGAGTAGGAGTAAACTTTGAAGCTTATCCTTGAAGGAGGGTCTACTTCTGATGTGGCAAAAGAGAATAGTGAACAAAGGGATGCTTCCTAGAGGGTGGAATCAAGGACTATAGAGAACAGTACATCAGAAGTTCTTCTAAAAAGCAGAATCATGGCCTAATCAATCTTCCACACCTTTAAGGAAGGAGGCCACACAAACTATTCCCATGAGACCTCAGAATTACTTTGGAATAGTGACTGCCATGTTTCTATTTTATTTATTTATTTATTTAGTTAGTTATTCATTTATAAAGATTTATTTATTTATTTTTGTGAGAGAGAGTATAAGTATATATAAATATATATTATGTAAATGTGTTTAAAAGAATGATAAACTGTGGCAGAGCCTGGCTAGCAAATCCATTTCTTCTTTATGGGCATGCAACAGTCCATGGATTAGGACACAGGACTGGATTGGGACATATCCCAACTCAGGGTTGACCCCTGAAATCCCTGGAAAGATTCCTGGATTACTCTTTCCAGTATACAGGCCCAACAGAGATTCTGATATAGCCCTCAAGAAGGAACAGTCTGGATTCCACTTGGAAGTCAGGCGCCTAGGACATCCATATCACCCATATCAGACCTTGTGTGAGAGATACATTTTATTGTGTTAAGTCACTAAAACTTTGAGTATATTTGTATCCACAACATAACTTCAGCTACTACGAAGAAAGCATGTATATATACATAACAGACAAAATAGATTTTAAGATAAAAGACTTTGTTAGATACAGAGGATTGCTATGAAATGAATAAAGGTAGATATCATTAGTAAAATGTAATAATTCTAAACTTGTATGCATCTAATAGTCTCAATTTTCATAAGGCAAAACTGGAGAAAATTACAAGGAGAAATTTATACATACAGTTTTTGTCAAGCAGACAAAACAATTACTAAAGATAAAGAGGACTTGAGCAATAAAACCAAGTTTGATCAAGTGATATATATTGACATCTTTATTAAACAACTGAAAGCATTAATTTTTAAAATATACCCTGCATATCTTCAAAAATTGATAACGTGCAAGACTCTAAAACAAATTTCAAAGACTCAGTATTATATGGATCATGCTGTTTGAACACAGTCAACTTAGTTAGAAATTTATATATCAATATCAAAGAGTTAATTTAAAGTATCACATTTTGTAGAAAACCAAAACACATACTTTAAAGAAATAATAATGGAAATTAAGAATTTAGAACAGAATGAAAATGAAAAATGCTACATTTGTAATATTGTTGACTGGAGCTGAAATGATATTTTGAAGGACTAATATAGAAATATATGCTTGCATGATAAAGCAGAATGAGAAAATTAATGAGGTAATAAGAAACAATAAAGATAGAAGTAAGGAAAATTACACTGTATGTTAGCTGCAATTTAAATAAAATTTTAAAAAAGATAGAAATCAATACATATTACAAAGGAAAAAACAAATACACAATGGAGAGGATGAACAATGTTGAAAGCTATTTTTCTGGAAGGGCTAGAAAGACTGAAAACACCTCTGGCAATACTGCTCAGGAAAAAAGACACAAATCCACAGCGCTGGAAATGGAAAAGAAACATGAGTAAAGACATAGCAGAGATTAAGAAATGTAACAGGAGAATAATGAGAGCAATTTAAAAAAATTTACATGCAATTGGGCAGTTTCCCACATAGCTTAGCAAACTTAAGAAAAAAATAGAAAATGTTAATAAACCTGTGATCATTTGACTAACTGAATCAATAGTTTAAAATCTACTCCAACTGCACACAAATTGAAAAATACCAGGCCAAGCAAGTATTGCAGTCAACTTCTACCAGATATTCTTGAAAACAGATCATTCCTATTTTTGTCAAATCCTTCCAGAAAATAGGAAAACAATGAATACTCCCCAGTTCATTTTATGAGGTTGGTATAAACGCCAGACAAAGGCAGTAAGTAAAAGAAAAGGTAATTTAATTATAGGCCAATTTCTCTTATAAGCACAATGCAAAAATCATGAATAAACTATTGCTAAACAGAATCCTACAATATGTAAAATTACACATACCAGGATAAGAAAGATTTATACCAGGAAAGAATTTTTACCTAGAGGGTGATTTAAAAAATTAGAAGATTAATATAATTCACCACATAAACAGGAAAAAAAGGTAGAATTTTGCAACAGATTTTGAAAACATTCAAACTATATTTAAAGCACACTTTCTTGGCAAACTAGAAATAGGGAATCTTTAAAAACTAATTAAGAGAATCTGCCCAAAATTTCCAGGGCACAGTTTACCAAATAGTTGCAATATTAGAAGCATTTGTTTTAGTTTCAGAATTAATACAATGATGCCAATAATCACAAACATTTATACATTATTGCAATGGAAGCCCTAAGCAATACAATAAGAACAGAAAAGTAAATAAAAGGAATAAGGGTTTTAAATAATGAAACAAAACAGCAGATGGCATGATTATCTATAGAGATATGTATTGTCAAAATAAAACAGATTAACAGATCAATATGTAATAATTACGTAGTCTATAATAATCAGTGGCATACATGAGTAACACTTTATTATGAAATATGATTTAAAAGGTTCTAATCTTAAGAGCATAAAGTGCTATCAATATTTAGATATAAACCTAATGAACTTTATGAAAACTTCTATGTGGAGAATTATAAGACATCATTGAGCCATATGAAGTACTGAAGAAATGAAGAAGATATACCATGTTTATGGATTGGGATAATCAAGCAAATAAAGATTTCTATTTTTCCCCAATCTGTACATGCGATGAAATCCCTTTCATAATCATAATGCAAACAAGGCATTTTGTTTATTTATGACTTGTGGGAGTACAAATTTGTGGTCCTCAGTGACCACAGTAATTCTGTTTTCCAAATTACTAAATGGCTATCTTTATAAAACACAGGTTTGATCGCATGATTCTCTTGCTTAAAAATTTCACCAAGCCCTCAAAATTTTCAGGATAAAATTTAAAATCTCAAACAACTACCAACCCTTTGTGGTCTGACCCAGGCCTCTCTTGAACCTCGTCTCCTGCCTTCCTCTCTACCTAACCAGGGCTCTGGAGTCCCACACATGCTATTGTAACCCTGAGGGTGTCCTTCATAAAGCCTTTAGTGCCAGAGACATTTGGGTCTGGTCTGAGAGCAGTACGGTGGGA